ATGCAAGAGAAGTTCAGACTTTGATCCTTAGACAATTTTCTGTTGCACGCAAGATCTTGGTTCATACCTGAAATTCCTAGAAAGTTATAGGAGTGATTCTCTTATATAAGAGCATGGAGTATTGAATGTCGTACTGGAAATTGTCACTGAGCACTTTTTAATGCAATACAAATTTTAGTTTTTAGTGGATAGGTGGATGTAAAATTTCAAGCCTATTGTTTCATCCTGCTTCACCCTAATAATCAGCAGTTAGCTTATAAGGTTGTTGAGTTTCACTGTAGACACAGAATACCAAATCATAAGGATTTATTATATATGTTCATAATTTTTTATGGAAAGTTGTTTTTTGTAGACTCCGGATGTAAATTTTGCAATGGAGGCTTGTAGAAAATGTCAGAGCGCTTTCACTGCTGCTAAGTTGATCACAGAAGAAGCACGGAATACGAACTGTATCCTGTATACAGGTTGCCCACAATCTGTTACCCTTATGTACATTTGTACAAAATTTGATTGATTAGAAAATTTTGGAAGGTATTTCTTATTTTGAGGTTCTTCTTAATGTGGATAGGGGGTACAATACAGAACACACACCCTTACATTTTATGGGTTAGGAAGAGGAAAGGGAGTCTTGGTTGTCAAGCGACACCAGATGGATATTATGTTAGTTCAGTGCTACATTCTTTGCTCCACAGCTATGGAGCCCCAGGAAAAAAACTAGAGTTTGGAAATGTTAGGCAACCATTTTTGAGGGCTTTGAATACTGATATAGTTATAGTAGGTCCATTGTTTATGACAAACTCTCCTTTTATGTTATCATATCAAAGTTTTGAATGAATAGAAATCCTAGCAGAAAGTTTCCTTGTGTGTGTTTGAGTACAAATCGATGCTAAACTTCTGTTTCCAGTTCTTAGTTGTATGTTGAGTGTTCGTCATCTAAGTTCATTTTATGGATTTAGTTTTGATTCATGTTAGTGCAAAAGCTTTTTACACTATATCTTGGTATATTATTGAAAAGTTTTGACTTTGATAACAATTACGCGTTGAGGTTTTGCTGGTATCTTGTGGCTGGTTAAACGTAGTGATTTCAATGGGTAAAGCAATTATGTAATTTATTTATGGGGTTTGGAATAAATCTTTGATACTACTGCTGTACCTAGATTCAGTGCATTCCATCAATGAGAACATTACACGTCAAAAGAGAGAAAAAATTTGACAGAAACTGACATGTAATATTTTCATTGGTGGGATGCACTGAATCTTTGGTACAGCAGTAGTACCAAAGATTTATTTGCGTTCATCATGCAACATGATCAAAAAAATAAAAAATGTTTCTTACACACATAACATTTTGTGGGGTCCGCATATTTTGAAGCAAAAAAAAAAAATTATGACACGAAAAACGAATCTCTATAAACATAACCCAATCACTTTTTCTACAACATAACTTTTATAAAACCCTTTATTTATTCTTCCTGGGTTTTATCTTTGTTATGTTATATAACCTAATTTTACTTTCCTACACATACAATAAAGAGGAGAGAGAAAATGAAATGATGAAAGAGAGAAAAAAAATACGTGAATCCCACCTCTTTGATGTGTGTGTAGAAATATGGAGTTAAGTTATGTAACATAACAAACATAAAACTCATTCTTATATCTTATGTTGAAAATTCCTGTTATTTGAGTTTTAGTGGGTTGATATTAATTTGCTAACTTATTTTATCATTATTTGACTTTCATACATTACTAAATTAACTTAAATTGGTAATTTTGTACTTGATATAGATATCTTAAACCTTTTATATCTTTTAAAAAATGATTTTTTAATTGTTTTGATGAATTGATTATCAACCCTTGAATTAAAGGTTAATTAGTTAGTATCAATAATCGTGAATTCAACTTTTTAATGAAAGGTTAAACGTGACCTGTAAAAATAGATATAATTTATACGAAGAAAATAAAAAACGATTATCAAATTATGGAGATTGGATCATTGAACAACTTTATCCAGAGAATGAATTATCTCTTCACTAGGGTTTTGGGCAAGTTAAGAAGAATATGTTTCATTCATCGTATTGGTTTAGCCATTATGAAATATATTTGTTGTAATTTTACAATGTACCCTTTGGTGACTTTTATTTTTGTTTTGTTATGAAGTCCATTATTAGTGTGGAAAGGAGTGTGGTGGAGCATATCTTCAATTTTAAGGATTATGTATTCCTTTACTAAAAATAGGATTTCGATAGCATTAATCATAAAAAGGTGATTAAAATAAATAAAATTAAATTGGTATTTTTTTTTTTCAATTTTGACAAAAGATGTTCTTAGTCTTTAGTGAAGATATTTTCGAGTGTGATGGGATAAATGTAAAGCGGATTTGTTGATATTTATTCTTTATTGTCACTTTATTCATATAATGCTATATGAATAAAAAATGGGTTTTATTATTCTCCTTTAATTATCTTATGTTGTAGAGAGAAAATAGGTGGATCTCATCATTGCATAAAAAAAGAAAGAAAAAAAGGTGAAATACGAAAAATCGAAGTAAAATAATATGAGACAAGTTATCTTATGTGAAAGGAGAGTAATATTTTCCATAAAAAATATCAAAATATTTGGAAAAAAAAGTTTTTTGGCTTCACATATATTTGGATATAAACATCCTTGAGTGTTTAAATAAATGAATGTTGATCACAGATTAAAAAGTATAAAAAAAAAACTTTAGACGAAGGGAGAGTATTTCGAATTGCACATAAAGTAGTTTGAGTGGGATTTAATCCTATAGTCTATCATCAAGTCTCTTTGCTAAAGAGCACATTCACCTCATATATTATTATTTAAATAAGATTCTCCAAAAAATAAGTTTTTTCTTCTAAGATTCCCCTATACTGAAAGTGTAAGTGTATTCATTTACTATTAAACTCATGTGTCAATAGTGGTGGAGCCAATAAAAAATATTAGCCAGTACCAAAAATTTGCCCTAAAAATTTTTAGCTACTGTCATCCTTTTATTTGTTTTGTATAGTTGCCAAATTTTAATCTCTATTCATGCCAAATTTTAAAAAGTTTAAAAATTAACTAGTACTAAAGTCCCCATGCGGCTTCGTCACTGACCATGATCATAATTATAAATTTTATAATATTTAATGGGGACGGTTATACTTACCACCAGGTAAGTTTACCACCCTTACAACCAATCTCCTAACCGTTAGATTAAAATTAAATCTAACGGCCCATAATTATCTCTTATAATCCTAATTTTTCTCTCTCATCCCCTCTCTGTTTCTTTCTCTAGATTTGGAATCTGGACATCTCTCTCTAGGTTTGGGAATCAACTCTCTCATCCTCTCTTTATGATGTTTTGTGGTTCATTCTGTTTGAATTTGAGACATCGTATACAACCATGGATGCGCGACTACGATAGGCTTCAAAAACTCGCTATCATCCTCCTTTAACGAGGCACGATCCTTTCGTTGTTTGGGCTTCAGACATTGTATACAGCCATGGTTGAATTTTCATTCTTCTGATTGGGAGTTCAAAAGAATCAACTCTCTCATCCCCTCTGTTTGAATTTGAGTCATCGTAATTTGGGAGTTAAAAATAATCAACTCTCTCATCATCTTCTGATTGCGATTCAGACATCTTCTCCCAAACTCGCTATTTTTCAGACATCTTCTGATTGCGATTTCAAAATAATTACGATTTCAAAATAATATAACATATGAGCATACCAAAATAATATAACATATTTTTGTTGGAATTGAAGATCAAAGCACTTTAACAATAAAGAGAGGATGATAGAGTTGATTCCAGAACCTAGGGAGAGAGACAGAGAGGATGAGAGAGAAAAAATTAGGATTATAAGGGATTATTATGGGCTTTTTGACCCTTTTGCCCCTCATTAATTAATTAATAACCAATTTGCCCCTCCCCCAGAACTATCCACCATCCTGCCCCCATTTAGTCGATCAAGTTGCACTTTTAATCGACTAAATGGGCAAAATACAGTAATCAAGAAACACGAATTTTAGTCGACTAAATACTCACCTTGATCGACTACATGTCGAGCACATTTAGTCGACTAAATACCGCAGAAAACCCTATATCCAGATCTCTCTCGGTCTCATTTGCAATATTTTCGAAATCAAAACCCCTCTTTCTCTTGTTTGTCAGCTGTAATCCTTCCAATCACCCTTCCATTTCATCCCACCATCTCTAAAGCATAGTAATTGTGAAATCATTGTCATTTCCCTTATTTTCTGATTTGTTTCCCCCAAATCCGAACCCAAAACCCTAAAATCCGATTCCTACCCCCAAATTCGTGTGAAAGATGAGCTCAAGTCCAAACATGTATGTTACCATGATTTACTATGATGGAAAGCATTATGAAGGCCCCAACGGTGTTCAATTTGAAGGAAAAATAAAAATGTTGAAAATCAAACGGGGCACTACGTACAATGAGCTTAAGGGGAGGATTTACCAAAAATTGGGGCTACAAGGCAGCCAGTGTGTTTCCATGTCACACATAGGCATGGTATATTGTATGGCGACGATGACTTCCATGGTGGCTGGCATTTAGGGGATCCATTATATTTGTACCAGGAGTTTCGAACTAAATTTGAAATGCAACATGCAGTCAAATTATATTGTATGAAGTCTCATTGTACTGCTGTGGTGGCAAAAAGTGATGACCATAGATTTGTGATGAAGTGTCGACACCATAATAATGGTTGTCCCTGGTACGTGCGGGCTATGTTGCCCAAGAATGGAAATACTTGGGTTGTTAGTAAGTGGGGTAAAGAACACACCTGCCTAAACCAAGGCCTTACCTGGGACCATAGACAGCTGGATTCTGATGTAATCTGTGCAGCCATTATAAGTATGTATTACGCGATGTTTGGTTTAGGGTTTATGTTTACGTTATTTTTATGGTATATTTATTGACTGTGTTGACTTCGATTTTTGTATAGGTATGTTAAAAGAAGATCCATCTATGAAACCAGTTCTTATTCAGGAGAGGGTACAGCGTTTGTATGGATACAACATATCTTATAGGAAGGCTTGGAAGGCTAAAATGAAGGTCATTGTGAAGTTGTTTGGCGACTGGGATAAATCATATGCCATCTTACCTGGTTGGCTGACCTACATGACACAGATTAATCCTGGTTCTGTGTTCAAGATTGATACGGACGAGTGTTGTGACGAACGACGTGTCTACACCGATAAGGGTGTCTTTCGCAGGGTATTTTGGACTTTTCACCAGTGCATTGAGGCTTTCAAATATTGTAAACCCATAATCCAAATTGACAGCACGCACCTGTATGGGAAATACAAAGGTACCCTCTTGATTGCTACGTCACAGGATGGTGATAAAAAAATAACTTGAGATAAAAAAATGGCCACAAGTCAGTGCTATTTATGCAAACAACATGCAGAGTCAATTGATTATTTGTTTATTCATTGCCAATTGTTCAAACATAATGAAAATTGTCTATATTTTTGGTAATTCGTTCCTGCCAATCACCAATGGACTCATTAAGTGTCAAAGGTGGAGAAACATTTCTTTAAAGAAGTTGATTGCACAAGAAAATTGCCCAGGCATACAAGTACACTGCTTGATTGGAATAGGAAGGCCAACCTTTCAAGAACAAAAATCATTGTAATCATGCAAGATATATTTATTATAGTTTTCTTAATTGTTTTTCTCTTTTCCCATTTACTTTTGCTGCCTGGTTTTGAAACTGGTCATACATCTTGTATATGTCATATATTTTCCTTTCTAAGTCACTTAACATCCACACAAATCATCATGAGAAGAGGTTTGCATTCAAAAAAGAAAACTTGCCAATACAAGGAGATAATGATCTTAAATTTAAGATACATCTATTAAAATTAAAATAAAATATAAAACACATACCTCTCTTAAAATTAGAATAAAATCCAAAGCACTAAGAACACCAACAAATTGTCCCTTGCAGAAGTCCCAAAGTGGAGCCATGAAAATTCCCTGTAAATTATCCAGATTAGAAAAATTGCATATGCAAACTTCTAATCAGCAATGGATGAAGACGCAATAAAACTAAAACAGAGAAAGCTATAACATGTGACCAAAGAAGGAAAAGACTTGAATCATTGTCAAAGCTAAGCTGCTGAAACAATTGGTCAAATTACAGAGAATAATTCAAAAAGCAAGAATCTTGTCTCTCCTATTTATTAGAGTAAAGGCAAGTAAAGTGACATGACAGAAATCAAGCATGTTTTAGCAAAGTTATTCAATATATGCAAAAAGGGCTCCGCAAATTGTAATCTAAGATAAACAAAGAGGTATGGTACCTGCTCATGCAGTATATGAAATGCCTGTTTCACTGGCAGATCAACATCCAAGGCAACAACCTGCAGCCAGGAGTCAATAAATCAGTAAGATTGTAATTTGCGATTTGTATGACTGTACGTTAATAATAAAGTCCAAAATAAAGGGTCAATGGTAAAACTTCCAAACCTTGCCTGACTCAGGAAATAATTCATAAGCTGTGTGCATAGACAGAAATGCAGAAATACGCTGACAGGAGATCTGTACATCAGCATCTGATATTCTTGGCAGAACCTCACTCAATGTACCATCCGTCAACCGAACCTGCTTTATAAGTGAGCTACATATTATATTTGATGTCCGAACTATTAAATTTCAGATGCAAATAAACAAGAGTACAGTTTTAGACATGAGCAGAAATCAAAATCTAAAAGGTAACAGAATAAACATGGGCAACATGACATTGTAAGTTACAAGGGATATGACTTATGACAAATAAGACAATCAGGAAGATTATATTTTGTTGTAATGCAAATAGAAGGCTCAATAGACCTACATAGATCAAAATTACTGGATTCAAAGTCCTAAACAAATAACAAAGTGGGTTTCTAGGAGTTCTAAAATGAGATGCAAAAAATTCTCTAGAGTCCATACAGATCATATTAGCACTGTCCTTTGAAATTTCATTCAAAAGTATAGCCAAAAGCCAATATACAAATAGTAGCCAGGTTGATAACAACAAACACAACTAACTCTTACCCCACGGCGAAAAGCCTCATTATCCACATCCATGTTATTTCCAGAAGCAATATCTGGAGTTAAAACAGGTATGTAGTTAGGATCAGTAGCCAAGAAGACAGTGTTGACTATCCCATATTCTCCAGGTACAAAAGGCTGATGCTCATCATGCTGCCATTCTCCATCAACAAAAAACTTGTACTGCATTCATATAACTTCATGATAAGTATCCAGCCGCCAAGAATAAAGGCCAAACATTATCTTAAATTAGCATCTTTTCAATTCAACTACTATGTATCATAATCAGATACTTGCAATCTCAAAAGTGAGTAGTATACTGCTGCTAAAACTCCGATAACAATCATTGACACAACAAAATAACATTTAAAAAAAATATTGAAAAAGATAAATTATGAAACAGGAACTAGTATTCTAAACCTCTGAACATAACCTCAAGCACCAATATCCCATTACATTCCATATCAAGTATCGACCAGACTTCATATTAAACCATTAATTTTAATTTTTTTTTTTTTTTGGGCTGTCTAGAAGTAATATAGAGCTAATTCAGTGCTATTAAAAGGAATACTTTGCTACTGAAACATCTCTCGGAAAAACTGCCAATAAAAATTATCTAATCTACAGAACCAGACAACCACATATATAATCTAGACAGACTTGAAACTTTCTATCCAGTCATCATCTAATACTAACACAAAATGCCAGTTCTTTTCTTCAGGGAGACCCCCAAACAAAATGCATGTGCCCGTAAGTCAGTGACATAAACTAACCTGATGATAACCAGGGGGCAAGCTATAAATGACTTGAAACACAGTTGGGCAACCTTCGACTGGCGACAGTGGAAGAAGCTGAGACCACCTTTAAGACAAAATTTACATTAAAAATAAAAATAAAAATAAAAACACATAAGCAAGACTAAACTAGAGCATTCTCACCAAAACGGGTAGCAAAGAGATTAAGATATTCATGTAGCAACAACAAAATACTCACCGTGTGAAAGAACCACTGAGAAACACACTCCTTCCGCCATATGGCCACACAAACCGCATGGGAATTAGCACTGTCCCTGCAACATCACCCGCATCCCCTTACAGAATCCATGCTCTGATTGAACATTCAACCTCGAATTGAGAGTGCTACTTTGAGAATACCCTCCAGGCACCACGCTTCATCGCAGCATGTCACTTTGTTCAGTTCGCAGGGTCCAAATTCCAGTAAATGCCTCACAAACTCAATGCACTACGAAGCCCAAGATGCAAGAGGAAAAAAATTCATCCCAAATCAAAAATCCGCTAGGGAAAAAAGAAAAAGCTTGGATTTTGATTCTTTATTCGACGGAAAAATCAAAAACAGAAAGTGCCCATTTCTCACTGCAACAGAATCAACGAAGAAATTGAAGCGGGTACGAAAATGAACACTCCCAATTAAACTTGCACGCAACAAACCATTGACAAGCACTCACAAAACCCTAACCTTAAATTGAAAAAAACCTACCAAATTCAACCTGGAAGAGCCACGAATCTGGGAAAACCAAAGCACAGAGAGTCTCAGGTGAAAACAAAGAAAAAATGGAAACCCTATTGAAACATCAGAAGCTACTTGTTGAGAAAACCAAGAGAGATTTATCCCGGAAAGGGAAAACAAAAATAAAATAAAATTTGATGTTATTAAAAAAAGTTGTAGTAAGGTCAATGAATTATTATTATTATTATGAAGGTGCTAATTTGCTAAAGCAAAAATTATGAGGCAGAGATTATACTGTTAAATTGGAGAATGGAACCCCAAGGGTAGCTCAGTTGGGAGCTGAGCTTTTAAGGGATTGCTTGGTGCAGGGATCAAACCATGTTTCAATCAATTTCTTGGAAAATCTTTGGAGCCAGAGGATAAGCCAAAAATCTTCGGTTGGGAGATTAGTCTCGTCCTTTTTCCGGTTGCGAAACTTAGTGCACCACTGTTACAATGAGGGGCTAGCCCAAACGGGTCGTACCCTGAGGGTATGGTGCCCGGAGAAGGTTGAATGAGGATACCTCCTGGCAATGTACCAAAAAAAAAAAAAATTGGAAAATGGGAATAATAAAAGAGGCTGTTAAAAAAGATGATGGATAAAGTGTTACTATCACAACATGGGTTAGGCTCGTACGCACACGCGCGCGAAAAGTTTCACTTCTGATAGTGTTTCGTCAAGTTTTTTGCTGGGATTTCGATGGAGGAAACGATCAACAAGGATGGAGAGGCACTTTCTATGGCGCGAAGGAGTACTAAGAGATCTAAGAGTGGGGAGGAAATTCCCATGGAGGTACACATGTGAGAATCGGTGAAGGAGTATCAATCGGTTCCAACGATGAAGGTTAATCAAAGATTTTTTGCTGAGGTTACGGGTATGGAGAACGGAGTTGCTGGTGACTCGCTTCCATGGCTAGCTGAGGAAGAGGTTCCTGACCTGGAACCACTGGACCCGAGTTTGGGGGAGATTTCGGAGTGGGGCTTCCAAACGATTTTTAGGGCAGATGGATCTGTAGAAATCAAGAGTAATAGTGAAGCTAGAGCAAGGATGAGGCAGCGTTGGAAGAATGCACTGATTGTCAAATTGCTTGGCAAAAAGATAGGGGTGGGTTTCATGAAGAAGAGACTAGAATCGCTTTGGGCTAAGGCAGGGAATATTACTGTTGCTGACCTTGGTAATGAATTTTTTTCAGTAAGATTCAGTAGTCTAGAGGATCTTAATCTAGCTATTACAGGAGGACCTTGGATTATTTTAGGTCATTACCTGGCCATTCGCAAATGGGAACCTTGTTTTGATCCGGACAAGGCCAACATCCACAAGGTGGCAGCCTGGGTCCGCCTTCCTGGGATTCCCCAAGAATATTGTGAGTTTCCCTTTCTTAATCAGCTGGGGAATGTGATTGGGAAAGTGCTCAAAGTTGATAGAATCACATCTACTGGTGATAGGGCCCGTTTCGCTAGAGTTTGTATTGAGGTTGATCTAGCTAAGCCTCTAAGGGGGTCGTATATCCTTGATGGTTGTAGGAAGAGGGTGGAGTATGAGGGTTTGTTCTTGATTTGTATTAAATGTGATAGGTATGGACACAATTCGAACTCTTGTCCTGATTATGTTAAGTCTACAGCTTTGGCTAAGCCTGATATGCCTCCTGAGCAAACTGTTGAACTTCCCTGCAACCAAGAAGGAGGCCCTTGGATGGTGGTCCAGCGTAGGAGAAAACATCAGCAGCAAATCCAAAAGAAAGAAGCTGTCAGTGGAAGGAAATTTGGTGAAGATATCTCTAACATAAAGGATCTGAAGATTTCAGAATCAAATCCTAAGGTGGAGAATGATGTTCAGGAGACTAGTGAGGGTAACAAGCAAGGAGCAGTCCATTCTTTGGCTAAAGCAAGTAAGGAGAATGAGGTGTCACAGAAGGTAGATCACTCCGCTGATGTAGAGATGAAATTTAAGGCAGTTGCTAATGAGCAGTTGAAGAAGGCCCCTGGTGGTAAGCCTGCTATGTCAATTAATAAGAATCTTGCTTCGAAGAACCAGAATGCCAAAGGAAAAGGTGCAAACAGACCAGTGCTCGCTGTGAGTGCTTCAGGCAGTAGATCAAAGAATAAGAAGGGCAGTAGTGGAGCTGGAATAGTTCATCAGGTTAAGCTGGATCAACAGAAAGGTACTAGGTGGGGAGATTTGATGATGATGGGTGATTGCTCCAAGGAGGTAGCTAATTCTGAGCTCAAGAAGTCAGCAGAGGTCAGCTTAAATAGGGAGGAGACAGTGGAAGATCAAGATCCTCATGATCATGGTATGAAGGAATTTCACAAGGTGGATGAGAATAAGGAAGGTATGGATTTTGTATCTGCTGAGGATATCCCAAGTAGCTCATCTATGCATGTTGATAAGGAGGTAATTAGTGAGGAAGAAATTGTTATCCTAAGAGAATCAGGTGTTGTGAATAATGATATAAGTAGCAAGAACTTAGAAATCTTGCATCCTTTTCAAAATTCATGATGAACATAATTACCTGGAATTGTAGAGGTGCTGCTAAAAAGCATTTTAAAAGTACCTTTAACAGATTTTGTAGGAAACATGATGTTAGTTTAGCTGCTATTTTAGAGCCGCGGGTGAGTGGTAATAAAGCCACTAATATAATTCGTAGACTAGGTTTCTCTAATCATTTGATTGCAGATGCTCATGGTTTTGCTGGAGGTATCTGGATTTTGTGGAATAATAGAGATGTTAAAGTCTCTCTCATTAATAAACATGATCAATATATGCATTGCTGGGTTGAATTTCCTGAAAGGAGGGGGTTTTTCTGGACGGCTGTTTATGCAAGTCCCCAGGAAGATACTAGGCAGGTCCTTTGGGAGGAGTTGAAGCACATAGGAAGGACTATGAATGCCCCTTGGCTCTTAACTGGAGACTTTAATGAGATAGCAATGGTCTCAGAAAAAAAAGGAGGAGGGCCTGTTGATTTGAATAGGTGCAATAGATTTGTCAATGTCCTCAATGCTTGTGGGGTGATGGACTTGGGAGGGGGTGGTAACAAGTTTACTTGGAAAGGCCCAAAGTTCCTTCACTTGAACAGAGTTTTTAAGAGGCTAGATAGAGCAGTTGGTAATGAAGATTGGAGAGCCTCCTATGAAGATGCTGACGTCCTTGTCCTCCCTAGACTGTTTTCTGACCATTGCCCAATTTTGGTTAGAATGTCTAAAGAGGAAAGTGACTGGAGGGAAAGGCCATTCAGATTCCTGGCTGCTTGGCAGCAAGATGCCAGGTTCAAATCTTTCTTGAAGGAAAAATGGAACCCTTTAGCTGATCTGGTGAATAACCTTGAATCCTTTGTGCCACTGGTGAAGGATTGGAATAAAAATGTCATTGGATTCACCCATCATAGGAAGAACATAGTGATTGCAAGGATGGAGGGTATTCAAAAGCATGTCATTGGATTCACCCATCATAGGAAGAACAGAGTGATTAAATGACATATTTGAATATTGCTTGAGTTATGAATAAATGACATATTCGAAATATTAATTGAGTTGATTATGTTGATTATTCTTAAATAAATGTCTTGATTGATATTGGATTATATTATCCTCGTTTTGTATCTTGATTTGGGATTACCAGCTTTGCTGACTTTTGTGTTTGTTTGACTGCAATGATCTTGCGGCTGCGGGGGAGCAGATTTTCAGTGAAGCATGTTGCAAAGGATGTGGCTAGCTGTGGGCAGTGAGGATCACGACTCGGATATTTCTAGCTGTCATAAATATTATGTATAAAAAAAAAAATTGTAGTCTTAGATTTTGATTTGAATGTATAGAGTTAGCCTTGCACTTGTCCCTGTACAGGTGCGGCGGTAACACTTCCCAAATTCGATTATTTTGAACTTCCGCTGTTATTTATAAAAATATTGAATTTATTTATGCTATTATAAATTGTCAGAATTTGGGGTGTTACAAAATGGTATCAGAGCCCCTGGTTGCGGCTGGGGTTTGTTTTTGATATTTACTCGAGGGATCAAAGATCCCTGAGTTAAAAAAAAAATAAAAAAAAATAAAAAAAAATAATAAGACAAAAGATAAATAAATAAATCGAGAGAGGTGGGTAGTGAAGGGTTATTTTTTTTTGTCCTTTAAATATGATCTATGTCTTCGGAATTTTGATGATTATATGTTTGGAATTATTTTGTGATTTAAAATTATTATTGATATTATTCTTTAATTTTTTTATATGCTATCTTTAGTAACTCGTTCTTATTTTTATGAAAGTAATTAGCTTTCTTTTAGAGTTGTTCTTGAATTGATTAAAACTTTTTTAGCAAATGAAAGATAATATATGAAATAAAAATTTCTATTTGTTTAAAGAAGATATTCAGTTTCGAATTTTTTCATTTAGCTTGGTTAAAGTTAACAATTCATTAATCTGTAGTGTTTTAAATTTATTGTATTCTATGTTATCTTGTTTGCTTGGTTATGCATGACTCTTTGTTGTTTGCTTACTTTTTTTAAGGTGATTTCAAAAAAAAAAAAAAAAGTTTCGAGGACGAAACATCTTTTAAGGAGGGTATAATGTAATACCCCATATTTTTATTAACTTTAACCTTATGCCTTTAAGTTAATTTGAGAAGCTCAAACTTCTAAGTTTCGAGGACGAAACTTCTTTTAAGGAGGGTAGAATGTAATACCCCATATTTTCTTTTAATAAAATAATAATAATAATATAATAATAAATATTTTTGGATAATAATGATATTTAGTATTTTTGTAATTAATAATATTGGTATTTAATATTTTTAATTAATGAGTTAATAATAGTTAAAATAATAAGAGGTAAGATAATAATAGTAATATTATTTGATTTATGTGATAATATATAATTATATATATATATTAGATGATAAATTATGATTAATTGATTTATTAATTGATTGATGATTTAAGCATTTATGTTTGATTGATAATGATTGATTGGTAATGTTTGATTGATAATGTTCGATTAGTAATTTGATTAGATATGATGAGTCAATAATGAGTCAGCAAATAAGTTAGCTGTAATCTGAGCCATAAGAAATTAATAATAAAATAGTGTATGAAACCCATATCTGAGCCCAAAACTTCAACTATAAATAGAGGTCTAGCCTAACCAAACCAATTCA